AATTGTGCACACTTTTGTCTTAATGTAACATAACCGTGTTGCCTATGAGATGCTAAATTTTGCTGGTTTAATACTCCAGTATCTTCCTCGCACCCCGATATTGGATTCCTGTCTTGATGCCAGATCTAGGAAAGCAAATTAATCCAGTATCACCTTCCATTCGTGAAGGATGCTGGGAAGTCTGTTTTGATTATAACTACCTTCTAGTTTAATTTGTTGCTGCTATTCTAGAATTGAAACAATATCTCTATTCCATTAAAAACACATATGGAAAATAAACTATAGTGAACACCTTAACGAAACGTTTTCTAAAAAGTATTATCTTGAGTGTTTCTTCTTTTAAATAGTGTTTGGGGAGCTAGTGCAATATAGGGTAGATATCCCTCTTTTAACTTTTCCAGCTAAGATTGTTAATTATTATATTTCTTACAGTAGAAAATAATATGCTACAACTTAACTGTACCACAATGTTTAACCATCTGAATAATAATAAATGTCAGAAAAAACCATGAATCTTAGAAGCATGAGAACACAATTCCTTTTATTGAACTAAATACTGTAAATGTTTCAGAAAATTTTTTAAGTTACTTGGAAGAAAGGTTAGAACCTAATTTGTGACATGAATTTTATAAAGAAAGCCAAGAAATACACAAAATAATTTTTTTCTTGACTTTAAGTTAGAATGTACCATTAAAGCTGAATACACTTGAAGATTGTACCTGAAGTTTGGAGAGTTCCTGCATGGAAGGCTGCTCGATCTGCAACTTGTCACCACGCCTTTTTAATTCAATGATTCCTGCATCTAATTCCTTTAGTCCATCTTCGGCCTGTTGTATTGCCTATTAAGATTTATAATATTTCATTAAAACTCCCAGGAACAATTTCCCCACAAAAAATGTGATTGTTGTGTCTTTTTATTCGTTTCTCTTCCCTCCACATAAAACATTTTCAAAGCATAGAAAGGAGTCACTTCAAACAAACATAAAAATCATGGTCATATATACAAAAGAGAAGACGACCCCTTATTATACTACAGATCAGCTATCTTAAAGGTAAGGAGATAGGAGAAACTTAGGGCATAGGGTTGAGTGTTGGAAGAGAGTTGGCTTCCTTATACAAATAAGGGAATTTGTGAATAGCAACAGCTGAAAAAGAAGCATGCTTTAGGACACAGTTAGAAAAGGTATTTCCCTGAGATTTTTCTAGGGGACCATATTCTGATTTCCTGAAATGCAGTCGTGACTATGTTAGGAGAGAGATTCAGCGAGGCAACCAGAAAATATGTCACAGCATGAACAAGGAACACTTGCTCATACTTGTGAAGTAGCAAATCAATCAGTCAAGTAGGAAAGTGGCTGCTATCGCTAAGCCTTGTCTTCCTGGTGTGAGGTCTGCAGAAAAAAGTAAGATTTCATCTTGGCCTTCAAGGAGTTGAAGGCCTGGTTAGGAAGCCAGAGAAAACAGAGGAAAACAAAACAAGGCTGAATACAATTAAGTATTAAACTTGATAATGCAACTCGTCCCCATTAGAGGAGTTTGGAAAAGGGAGATAGCAGACCATGAGTCCTGGAGCATTCTAAGTAGACTCTTGGAAGAAGTGCAACCTCAGTTACCCTTGAAGGATGACAATAACATGGACTCCAGATGGCAGATGAAACACATGTGTCCAATTTTCTCTTTCCTGAAAACCCCCTACGAGCAGAGCAAATATTTTCAAAAAAAAAATTTTGGTGTGTTGCCCCCACCCCCGCCCCACCGCCATAAATCTACAAGGACAGCAAACAGGAAAGAAGACAATACTGACACAATTTTAGATGCTGAAATCAGAAGAATACATGATAATCGACTTAGAGAACCTGAGAAAGCTAAATCCTAAGCTAGCAGAGGACCTACATCACCAAATGCAGAGCAACGGGAGTCTCTGCAACCCTGGCTGGAGTGGGGTGGGGTGCTAAGAAGAGAAGGTTAGTGGGAAGCTGCTAAGAGAGCAGTTAGGTCCCCAGCTCCCCTTCCTCATTGCAGACTGCCCCTTTTCTTCCCTGGGGGAAGTTTACTTTCTGGAGAAGGTAAGACAGACTGACGGGGGCCAGACACAGTTGCAGGCTTGAGTGCCTGACTGAAAACAGGGTGATGAAGTGACGGGATGCCCATGAATGCCCACTGAGTGCTGAACATGGGCCCCTAAGCCTTTGCTCCCTGGGTCAAGAAGTGCTGCAGCCAGGCCTTTACTCTCCAGATGGGGGAAAAAATCTGAAGAAACCAAAAGAAAAGGCCTAAAATTTGACACAAGGATCCTCTAACAAATGGTCAACACAGACAACCCTTCAGTAAATCTCAAAATGGTCAAGCTCCATTCACACACAAAGTTCCCATCCCCAAAGTGAATAGAAAACAAAGGATTTCAGCATACCTTAGAAAAACCTCTAACAAGAAAGACAGAGACCAACATAAGCAAACAAAAAAAAGCAACTTGGAGTGAAACAGATCATACAGGATGAATAAAACTTCAACCAAAAAATCATTAATACACCCAGAGAGATTATAAAAGATAATGCATCCATTAAAAAAAAGTACTGGATACCATTAAAAAGGATCAATCAGAGTACCAAAATGATCTCTGGAGAAATTAAATACATGAGAGCAGAAATGCAAAACTCAGTAAGGAGTTTGAAACTGAAGTCAAGGAAATTTCCTGCAAAAGACAGCAAAAGACAAAGAGAGAAAGGTCTTTTGATAAGAAAATTAGAAGATTGAACTAGAATATCCAACATATGATTAAAAAGAGTTCTGCAGAAAGGGAGACAGAAAAAATGGAGGAATGAAAAGTATTAAATAAACTATTAGAATATTTCCCAGAATGGAAAGATGAAAGCTCCCAAATCAAACGAGCCCATGGAGCTCAGTGAGTAAAAATAGACCCTCTCCAAGACATGCGATTGTGAAATTTCAGAATAAAAAGAGTTCTGCAGAAAGGGAGACAGAAAAAATGGAGGAATGAAAAGTATTAAATAAACTTTTAGAATATTTCCCAGAATGGAAAGATGAGAGCTCCCAAATCAAACGAGCCCATGGAGCTCAGTGAGTAAAAATAGACCCTCTCCAAGACATGCGATTGTGAAATTTCAGAACGCCAGGGACCTCTGGGAATTAGGATGATTTTAGATTCCTCAAGCCAACATGTGAAAATAGAAAACAATGGTGCAAAAGCCTCCAAACTCTGGAAGAAATTTATTTCCAACCATTATGCTAGTTCAAGTTCTCATTCTCATCAGTGCAGCTACATGAAGCCTCATGATGGATCTCCTGCTCCCTGACCCCGGTGCTGTCATGTCAACCATCCAAAGGTAGGACCTGGAACTGACACCATTCTTACCCTCAAACATCCCCAGTGATTTTCCACTGCCAGGGATCTCCACAGTGACTTCCAAGTACCCAAAAGTGTGCAAGACATACTAGGACGAAACATTACATCTTTCACTTATATTCAACCACATTCATTTAAAATTTTCATTTGTGTGTAAGCTTTATGAGATAACACAGTACCTGCTTATAATTTATAAATAAGTAAATATACATATATGAATATTTATGGTGCGTGATTTTTTTTTTTTTTAGCTAATTGGGTATGCAGTCAATGACATGTATTGACCACCAGTTTATAGAATAAAGTCCAAACTCTCTGACATTCAACAGGCCCTTTTAAAAGCTGCCTCAAATTTACTCATCCAATTTTATTTCACCTCAATTTCATTCATCCTAAGTTCAGCTAAATCGTATTATCTGCATTTTTCCCTAAGTGCTCAGAATTTCCTAACATTTATGCTTTTGTTCTTGATGTCCTATTAAGGTACCTTGATACCTTTCTTCCTAGTCACTGTGCGTCCAAACTTCTAAGCTCAGCTCAAATTTCCCCCGACAAAGTCTTCCTGATCCCACCCTTACTGGAGGCAAACTACCCCCTTCTGAATGTCTATAGTGCTTCATCCGTCCCTCTTCCAGGACAGTTTGACCTTCTGCTCTATGTCATTGAGGTTCATATCTAATGTCATTGTTGGGTGGCAAACTCCTTCTGGTCAGCATCTGTCACTGACACTTTTTCCAATCTCATATTTCCTAGTTCTGTGCAGAAGTGACAGAGTCAGTGTCACCTGGAATATTATTCAAATCCAGTACTCAAAAACAAAATATATGACAAACAAAATTGCTATGGTGAGCCATTAATTTTTCATAGAATGTTTAAAATTTCATAGTACATCATATCTCCTCCATGCATTTGCTCTTTTAGGAAAAGGCAGCTATAAATACCTCTATTTGTTCTGCTACAGGTTGTTCAAACACATTTGCCAGTTTTTGCAGAATGATGTATTTGTTGTCAGCCAGCAATGTAAACAGCACCTTCAGATCATTCTAAGGAGGAAAGCAACAGGAAGACTTAACATGTGTAACAAGGAATTCAAAGGGGTTGCAAATATAACACAGATTCTTAGAAATAATAAACAGGTATAGAAATTTAATTTCCAGGAAAAACAATACTACCCTATCGGAATGTAAAAGGAACTGGTAACAATTTATCTAGGTGCTAAAACTGACTTTTGAAGAATTTGTTGCACAAAGCATTTTCCATATAATACAAATAGAGTTGAAGCATACATGTGTAGAAAGCAATACTGATCACCCTCATCTTGTTATGTCTGAAATATATGGGCACATTCAAACACTGCAGCAGACATATCATGCTAATGACTTTAGCCTAGGAAAATAGCCTATAGGCAGTATCCTTATTTGGGAGATAATGTGACTCAAGAATACTACGTATGATTCCCTTTTCCCTCTTTCTCCGCCTTTCCTCTCTCCCTCACTTTTTCTTCTCCTATTTTCAAAGAATTTGCACAAGCTTACAAGAAGCCACCCAGAAATTTAGAAAGTAAGTATTATCTATGACAAAGACAAAGAAAGAAACAACACAAAAAGATCTTAGCTAAGTCTTTTGTTCATAAACATTTCTCTTTTAAATGTCCAAATATACTTATATTGAGCTAGACTTGTACAAAAAGGAGATAACTATCCAACTTTTGGTACTCAATTCCAAAGGAATAATGAACTGAAACAATATGTGAATTATAAAAATTATAAATCTTCCCTGAAATATCAGCAAATAAGCTCTACTTATTCTTAGTCAGCAAACACATATGTTGGGCTGCTTAATTAACAGAGGATGAAGCTGAACTCACGACATCCTTTACACCAGGGGCCAATCACGTGTGTGCACATCACCAAGATGCAAAAATTATGACTGCTTTATAAGGAGAAAGATAGTCAGTCACACCAAGGAGGAAAAAACAACTTTAAGGATATGTGTGGAGGCATTATAGTGCAAATGTGAGGCTAAAAACTAAAATAATGGGTAAATTATGCAGTAAAAAAAAATATCAAAATGAAAATATAGTGCTTGCTATGGTTTGAATGTCCCCCACCTTCCCAGCTCATGTTGCAGCCTTAATCCCCATACGGTACTTGAAAGGTGGGGCCCTGAGGAGGTGATTGGACCAAGACGGCTAATGGATGGATCCATTCATGGATTAATGGGCTAATGAATGAATAGGTCATCAGGGGAGTGGCACTAGGGGCTTTATAAGGCGAGGAAGAAGCACTGTAGTGTGCATACTTGCTCAGCCTCTGCCATGTGATACTCTGCATCACCACGGGCCTCTGTAGAGTCCCCACCAAGACGAAGGCCCTCACCAGATGCACCCCTTGACCTTGGACTTCACAGCCTCCTAAACCATAAGAAATAAATTCATTTTCTTATAATAAATTACTCAGTTTCAGGTGAACCTGTAATAAGGATTATAATCCTGTAATAAGCAACAGAAAACTGACTAATACAGTGCTGAATGTGAAAACTAGAATAGTTGTCTCTAACCCAAACTCAAACCAATCTACCAGTCTAGTGACCAACTAAATAGGAAATTATAATAGCAGTACTGGAAAAACAATGCCAGAAATTAGAGTTTTGCATGAGTTATGATGATGTTTGCATCATTCAACTGTGTTCAGGGTGAGTTCATGTGGGCCATCAGAACTATCACAAAGTTATCTGTTTGTAAGCACATTAAAAGATGTTTCCCATTCATTTACATAGATTAAAAAGAAATAGTTTCCATTACCTACATATATTTATTACTCTAAATGAGAAGATAAGTACAAATAACATAATATAGGTTAGAAATGAAGAGTATGTGTGTATTTCTTGTACATTACCTTCAGATTTTAATAGCCTATTTTCTATTTTACCTATATCCTACTAAAGATAGTAGAAAAGAGTTCACATTTCTGGAAGCCACACTAATTATTGGGAGAGACTAGTCAAGAAGACAGTAAAGCGCGGAATATGACTGATTTTAAAATGACTAAATTAAACACTTTAAGAAGTGCTAATAATCGCATGAATTTTGATGCCTTTTTAAAAATAAAAATTGAAAGGATTTAACAATTTTTTATTAATACAGTTGTGATACAAAGGATAATTAAGGTATCTACATATTACATAAATATCAGATGTCAAACTTTTTTTCTTTTATAGCCACTGGAATTGCTGGTAGGCATAAAGGGGCAGGATTCCAGCCCTTAAAAAACAGATCTGTAGAAAGTGTCAAGCTTTAAAATCAGCTGCATTGCCTCAGTCATTTATTAGAGAGTTCTTTCATTCTTTTTTTTTTTCTTTTGGCTGCTGGCCAGTATAGGGATCTGAACCCTTGACCTTGGTGTCATGAGCACCATGTTCTAACCAAGTGATCAACCAGCCAGCCTCTCATTAATTTTTGATTTTTTAAATTTAATTTTTAAAAAAAGTTTAACTTTTAAATTTTTAAGTTTTATTTATTTTTATTGAAATGGATTGATTATATACATTTGTGGGGTAAAGAGTTGAATATCAATGCATCTACACCATGTGTGATGACCAAATCATGGTAATTAGCATATTTATCACTACAAAATTTAATCATTTCTTTGTGATGAGGACATTTTGATGTCCTCTCTTCTAGCCATTTAATAATATGCAATAAATGAATGTTAATTATCGATGCCTAGCTCCACTGTGCACCAATAGAACTTATTTTTCCTATCTAGCTGTTTTGCATCCATTACTTAAAATTTTCAATTACATGTGTAGAAAATTTATTTGGAGTTAAATTTATGGGTAAAAAACTTAAATAATAGTTGATCATTGACTTCATTGTGATTCCATATACATGTATGCATCTGTGCATCCTCTCATGTGGTCTTTTGGGTATAGAATAATGTTAGCAGTCTGTGAAAAGCTAATACTCAAGGGTTAAATGGAGAATGAAGGCATATCAGTTCAGTAACTATTGAGCACTGACAGCATACCAAGTGCTTGGTGCAAAGTAAAACAAAACGATTTGTGACTTCACCTGTAATTATATGAACATTGGAACTCTTCCTCTCAATTAAGTTGGAACACAAACATTTTGAAATGTCAGTTTTTGTTTGTGAGCTAGCCACCAACAAGTAGAAACTTGTTGGCAGAAGAAAAATAGAGAACGTGATTTAAAGAGAATTTCATGATTACATGCTTTTTTCTTAGTCCCCTACAACAAAATAAGTTCCAGAGTATTCATGCTTGGTTTATATTTTACTATAACTGGTTATAATTACAAAAAAATATATATTAAAAGTACTAAATTACTAATGATACCAACATAGAGAATATAACTCACAAAAGAGAAATATGCCTCTGAGTCATACACATGTTTGCACTTTTAACCCACCTCATTCATGGCTGACAGACTAAAATGCTGTTATAACTCAGTCTTATGAAAGATAAATTTTAGAGTAATGGAACAAGTTTCCATAAGTTACACAATGATCTTGATGATTTTAGACATACTGTATATACACAAACATGTAGTTGAATCTTGCATCTAAAATAATATACCCAAATAAGCAACCCCTGCTTTTCTGATTCCAGGTGAAATGCTCTTTCCTCTCTATATACTATACAAACTCACAGGTCTGAATGCAAATATCCAGTCCAGATCATTCTTCTAAGCCACAAACTTGCATACCCAAATGTCTACTTTCCTCTTCACCTGAATATTTTAATTCCCACCCCCCATATCTGTTCCCAGTCAATGGTACCACTATCAACTCAATCTTGTCCATTGGCCAATGGCACTGCTATCCAACAGTCTTCTGTCAATGTCCCCCAGATGCTCAAGTCAGAGTCCCTGGAATTCCTCAGCAATCCCTCTTACTTTCATTCTCCATATCCAAACCATCAACAAATGCTGTTCTATTGATTCTGCCTTTTTGAGTACGTCTACTATTCTCTATCTCCCTTGCCATCACTCTAATACTAGAAAAAACAAAAATATTCTTTGAGTCAAATCCTGGCTCAAGTTCTTGATGGCTGGGTAAACTTGAAGAAGTAATTTAACCTTTCTGTTGGTTTCACATCTGCTGTAATACTATTACTAACAGCAACAACAATAAAAATAAAATTTGCTGAAGGCTGACTCTGCATCAGGCACTGTTCAGAGCAGATAGCACATTTTAACTCATTTCATCCTCACAACTCTATGAAACAATTGCTATGGGTGTGATTGAACAGTTGAGAATACTGAGGCTCAGAGGAGCCAGGCAGAGAACTTAGGAAGGTTATACAATGGTAAATAACAAAGCCAGAACTGGAACCACAGAGTGCTAGTTTCAGAGACCACGTTCCTAACTTTTGCTCTTCTAACTTCACAAAATTATTAGAGCAATGCTTACCTAAAGGTGACAAATGTTTGAGGTGACGGATATGCTAAATACCCTGATATGAACATTGCACACTGTATAAATGTACCTAAATATCACATTGTACTCCATAAATAGATACAATTATCATGGATCAATTAAGAAGAAATTAATTTTTAAAAATTTGCATAGACAGAAGTAGATTAAGGTTTATGAGAAGCGGGGGGAAGAAATAATGAGAAGTTACTGCTTAATGGATACAGAGTTTATGTTTAGGATGATGAAAAAGTTTTGGAAATAGAGGTTGTGGTTACACAGCATTGTGAATGCAACCACATATAATTGTATGTTTAAAAATGCTTAATATGTCAATCTTTATGTTATATGTTTTACCACAATAAAAAAAATGAAAGAAAAAAAACCCAAAAGAACAATGCACATGAAAATTTCTTGTAAATAAAAAAACGAAAAACAAATGTTTGTGATAATTTTGCTCTGTAATTTTAAGAATACAGACTACCAGAAGGCAGTGGTAATTTGTCCCTCTACATGAATATCTAGAAAATTCCATGTTTCTTGGTTAATGCTAAATTTATTTGACACCTTACAGTATTTTTGTAAATAAAAAATTTTACACCAAACTCTTGGCCCTAATTACACGTATCTATTTTATAAATCTTTATTAAAAATAGCATTCAACTAAAACTTAAGTATTCCCAAAAGTTGCTTTTTGTTAGATATAAAAAATTAATGCTAAATGTTTATCAGCTGCTCTTGCATTTGTTTTAATGAATAGTCATAGGAAAATTTTCATAAGCACACAGTTATTCAGGTGGCAACAGAATTCGAATAAAGGGCTTTTTGAAAAGCAGTAAGTCTGAGGAGTTAGAGCTGGAAGGTAACATAACACATTTTTAACATCGGTAGAAATAATTAGGTCACAGCCACTTTCAAAGACTTCCTGGGTACTGGAATCTAGAGTTCTTTCTGTGTTCCAGCACTTTTTGCATGTTCTTGGTAACATGTTTTAAACTCCACTATTTTACCAACTGGAAATTATAATTATAGAAAGCCATAAATTTGACTTTTAGTGGTTGAATTCAGCCCTTAGTTTTAGACTAGGTAGTTTTCTCAACCTTCCACTTTTAGGAGCATGAAACTTTTAGTTTTCTAACACTTTAGTTCAATTCCCTTGATTTTCTGTAATGTTCTTGCTCTTCATTGTACATTTGAAAAAGAGAAAAAAAGGTTTACAACATATCTCAATAAGACATCCTGTTGTTTACTATTGAATATACCTAGAGAATGGTCAAAACTATTTTGATATAGTCTTACTTACCTGGAAATTTAGTATGTGCTGAAGTCTTTCCTTCATCTGATGACATCGTTGATTTACTACTGAATCTAGCAAGGATAACCTGCCCAAAAGACAACCCAAAGTATCTTCGATAACATCTCGATTTTCACCATTCTCTGGAAAGGCTTGGGAAAACAAGTTCTTTTTCTTATCCATTTCTTCAGACATTTCCTTAATGTCTTTGGCAAGAGTCTGGGATTGACAAAAGAGAGACCTCATTTCACTGTTTAGATCCAAGAGTTGATACTCAAGTCAAATCATTTCCTCATTGAGAGTCCACTAAATATCTCTTATTGCCTAATAACTACACCGAAGGCAAGTTGAACCTCTTTTATATACTTCTATACATTTTAGGCAAATGCTCTTACAGAGATTTTTCTCAGAGACTTTATATCATTAGCTAATAATAATACACACTGATAAAAAATGAGCTTTATAAAATGCTATTTAAGAATTCAGTAGATTATTTTTTATTTTTTTTTCCTTTTTGTCTTTTTTCGTGTCCGGCAACGGATCACAACCCTCAATGTTGCGCCCGTACCGGACCGGGACCGGCAACGGGACCGCAACCCTCGGTGTCACGCCCACACCCCGCTCAGCCAGTGAGCGGGAACCGGTCTGTATGTGGGATCCGAACCCTCTGCGGGAGCGCCACCGCGCTCCTAAGCGGCGCACTATAGCAGTGCGCCACCGGGCTGGCCCACAGTAGATTATTTTTTAGTCCTGTGTTTCCTATGTGGAGGATCTGTGATATACAACAGTATTTCTACAAAGAGATCTCCACTTTCCTCCTCCTATACACACAAGGTAAAGAATAACAACATAAAACATAAATATCTTGGACAGCTTTTTGTATTTAATCAATTTTGTTCTACATCACACTGCTTAGAAGTACACCTAATTTGTACTTCACCTTCTTAATACGTTGAGTTAATTATCCAATATAAAAAAATAGAGTGCTTTGTAATGTCCTACAGGCACAGACAGAAACTGTCAAATTTACCTCTTGGTTGAAGAGACAAGTTTCTGTTTCTTCTGGTAAAAGTGCTGTGGCTACAAATAAACGTTCTTCAACATCATCCAACCAGGTAGACGTAGCTGAGACCCCATCATATAACTTCTGTTCCAAGTGCATATTCTGCTTCTTTGTCCCTTTACCCTGGAACACACACACACACACACACACACACACACACACACACACACACACACACACAAAGCATCAATGAAATATTTCGAGGAATAAACACAAATACTAGGACAAGACTCCAGAGGCTCTTTGTTTCAGGGCTCATGACTGGTGCTGGGTATGTATGGGGTTGAACGACATCACAGGGACCAGCGCACAAGCTGGACAAGACCAGTGCAAACCAAGACAAGTACACCGAGAGCACGGCCCTACCTGGGATGAAACCTCCTCGAAGGCCTGGTTCAATCCATCCAGCAAAGATGTAACTGCAGATTTATCCTGGATCTGCCCGTCCCCTTTGTACAGTGGCACACCCGATAGGAGTCGATTTGGCCTGCCGTAAAGCTGTGGACAATCACGGGCAGCTCATTTAAGAACATATGTACTACATCCCAGTTTGTTTTCTCATTTGAAAGTGTACACAATGAGATTCTGGAAAAATTGTACTTATGAAAACCTCTTTGAGGGAAATATGACCTACACAACACACCATGTCCACTGAACACAGTGGCTGCATTCAGCAATGGCAATGTTTCCACTGATGTATTAAAAAAAAAAAAAAAAGGTGGTGGAAAAAATGCCTGAAATCTTATCATAGCCTTCCCTAAAAGCCAGACCTAGACTGATCTCTTCTCTTTTATTATTAACCTCAACTCCCCTAAACTCTTTAGGCATTCATAATGGCTCCTCAATAAGGACCATAATACAGCCCAGCATTCAAACTTTTTAAATAATATTTCCAATCAATCTCAGTCTCCATGATTTTTCACAACACTCATCCTCACCTTTCCGGCTGATTACGCATTATCCTGTAAACCTGCCAGGCCCATTCTCTACAGAAGCAGGAATGTCTACTACCCAGCATCTCTTTAAGATCTACCTTAAATTCCACACCTACTATGGTGGTGTGCCACTTAAAAAAAATGCTGTTTCCTTTGTTCCTTTGAATTCTTGCTTATGGATCCCAAAATGGTTGCATAATTTTACAGAAATGTATAAAATATTTCCTTGGTTGGGTATAGGTTCCAGAAGCAGGAGCCATGTCTCATCCTGAATCACTGTAGGGTGTTCTGCGTAGAGACACTAGATACGCTGGAAGTGAATAGATGAAGAAAAATTGCTGCGAGAGATTGATGCCCTTTGATCTAGTTAACATTAGGCCCCCAAAATTTTGCCTGTTTTTACACTTGCCAGTAGTAAGTATATGCAGTGTACAAAATTGCCCACAAAGTAGTATAAAAAAGGAGAAATTCCAGAATCAGACAGATCAGCATCCCAATTCCAGCTCTGCCTCTTGTTAGTCACGAGACCCTGAGAAGTTATCTGACTTCTCCAAGCCTCAGTTTACAGGTCTACAAAGGAGAGATAATTTCAACCTCATACTGTTGTTAAGCATGCTAACACCTAGAACTAAAAATGTGTTCATTAAATGATCTTTCTCTTTCTTCCTGGAAACTCTAACAGGTAAACAGCTTTTTCCCTACCCTTCCCTCACCTTTTCACACCAAAGGGAGGAAAACAACCTAGAAGGTATGTTGTACAAATGACCAGTGATTCCTAAAAGAAAGCACTGAAATGCAAAAAAATGTCATTAGAAAAAAGAACGTTCAGTGCTTTCCATTTCTAATCCCAAAGGCAAGCGAGATACAAACATGAAACTAAATTTCAATGTCTAGGTATCACACATGAATGTCGGTAGCAGCAGGACAAGACTATTCCTGTAAGCCCAATACGGAGGATGCTGGGGTGCTGGCCCCGGCTGGGAGAAAAAGGAGCTGTCCAAGATAAGAGCAGGTAATGGATGAGACATCCAAGAGGTCTGCAGAGGCTGGATGAAACACGCAAGTGCATTAAGTGGAGTGGACAACTGGCGGAACCCAGGGGTTGGGTGTTTAATGACTAGAGAGTCATAAATACGCATGCAACAAGTAAGCATGAAATCCAGAAATGTCCTGGGTTTATCTGACTTGGGATAGTCAAAAAAGACTGCAGTCCCTTCTTCAGGACTGTACATACCCCTTATATCCAAAGGAATTGGGAATACTATATAACATGAAGGTGAACTAGCAGTCAAGTTCAGGAGATCTACATCAGAAATCCAGAATTTAAGTTACGAGTCTGAAAGATATTAATTAGATCAGTGGCTTGAGGAAGGAATAATTCACACACAGGTAGGATGGGCATGCAAAAGGTACAGGACATATTTGCCAGGGTGGAGTATGATTGTGGGACAACGGCCTCCAGGAATGGAGTGCCTTAAATTACTCAGGGCAAGAGCTGATGACTATTCCTGCAGACAGTGGCAAAGAAGGCTCCTGGACAGAGAAGGAGAGTGAGGGGGCAGAAAGCACGGCATGCCAGGTGGTTTTGTAAACTGGGATAGAAATGCACGGCTCTGCAGAGACTTACACACGACTTCCATGGATGAGGGGACACACTATGACCTTTAGACCCTCTCCTTTCTGTTACCGGTAGCTGTATCTGCTTTATGGTGCCTGCTCTGTCCACGCCTGTGTTTCCCTACTCAGTTGTACTGTAGTTATTGATACCGTCCACTCTTGGGTTCAGCCTCTCCCAGCCCCTAAGCTAGTTCTGGCCAGCTCTGTGAGAATAGCAGCTGCTCAGTCCAACATTAAGGTCCCAGAATTTACGCTGATAATTCCACTGTCCTGGAATAAGCCTCAATGGGCATTGCTGACCCAGGACACGAGATTAGATTTCTATCTTCAGAATCCCTCTGGGCCACTGCCATGGTAGGCATCCCTTGCTGGGATTACTGGCTCACTCATTAGCCCTGTGAACTCTCTAACTCCTCTGACTTCCAGTTGCTCCCTGGCTTCTGCTCAGAACCAACCAACAATGATTGTTTACCCAGAACCCTCTGTTGCTATATTCAATTCCCTTGGACGTGGAACCAAGCCCAACATCACACAGTATCCATTCCAAGAACCAGCCTTGCATATGGGTCAGTAACCATGCTAGCCGACCACTGGTTTCCCCTGCCTCAGACCCACCGAGGTCCCAGTATGTTTCTCATTAAGATCTCCTAAAATTATTAAATATTGGAAGTAGCAATGGAAAATAAGATGACCCGACAATTTAGTTCCAGGTTTGTGAAATTCCTTCTGTCCTAGATGTGTATAACCTTGATTTGCATCTATCATTTTCAAGATTGCAAAAAGAAAAAAAAAGGAGGTCTCAATATTTAATGGTTATGCTAATGAGGGATAAGATATTAATCATCTTCAAGGGAAAATATTACTTAGAAATCAAACATACTTTCACATATTGATATGTAATTATTAAGGGAAGTGTGAAACAGGCTTGAGATAAATATAGGATGAATAATTTGTTTCATGTCTTAATTTGGAATTAATGAAAATAAAGATTATTGCACAGTTATATTCCCCTAGCATGGCCTGTAAATCTTTTATATGAATTAATACATAAAAGGAAAATGTTTGATACCACTTGCTCTTGTTCCTGTTCCAGAACATTCTGCAACAGTTTCTGCTTGGTACTAAATTCTTGATGTAGGCTTTCCCATTTCATTCTCATCTGGTCTTCAGCAGATGATTTCTCTCCTTCCATTCCCAACTCCTGGGATAACATATCAGGTTTTTCGCTATTAGAAGAATAAATAATCTGTTTACAATGTGTGCAAAAAGGGATGAGATAGACAATTTATTGGTGTGTACTTGATCTGGCCTCGGAGATTAAAACAAGATTATTTTTATTTTTTTATTATTTTTCCTTTTTGTCTTTTTTTGTGACCAGCAACGGATCGCAACCCTCAGTGTCGTGCCCGTACCAGACCGGGACCGGCAACGGGATTGCAACCCTTGGTGTTGCGACCACACCTCGCTCAGCCAGTGAGCGGGAACCGGTCTGTATGTGGGATCCAAACCCTCGGCGGGAGCGCCGCCGCGCCCCCAAGCGGCGCACTGTAGCAGTGCGCCACCGGGCCGGCCCAAAACAAGATTATTTTTAGTTATTAGCTTACACTTTAAACTATAAAAATTTTGAGACAAGTATATTCTTAACTCATTATAATGGAACTATGAGCAGAATAAATATTAAAATATACATTATAATCGCTCAATATTAAATAAAAACAATTATAACACTTAGAATCAAAAAGTATAGTACAATTACAGGTTAGAGTGCTTTCACAAATAGTCTACAAATTTGTTCAAAACCCTAAAAATGTTACTTAGTCTACTGAGTTTTTATCATGAGTCCTAAACAGAACCACGTCATCTTAAAGGCATATTAGATTGACATTAATTGATATTAATAATAATGTGACATATGAATTAATATTTTGACACAGGCCTTTTGTTCAAGTAAGGAAAAAAAAAGTTCTTGGCAGGAAAATACTATACACTACCCCAAAGCCAACTCTTCTTAGAATAAGTATAAATACAATAGTGTCTTTAGGTAAGTCTCTTGAGGTAAGCCTTAAAATTTCTATAAGCTTATGGTATAGGGATTCTAATTCTAGACATAACTCAGAGAATCCCTCCCATCTGTTAGAGACATGTAAGAAGGTTAATTTCAACAATGGTAGTAACAGCCAAAAAAAATCGGCAACAGTGCAAATGTCCACCAATAAGAAAGAGGGGAATAAATTATGTCCACAAGATACAATACTATTAGGCAGTTAAAATGAAGAAACAGATCTGCAGGTATTGACATGGATCGATCTGAAAAGATAACATTGAGTGAAAAAAATATCAAAACACAATAGATACTTCGAAGTGAGTGTTTGTTATACTAATCTCTGTATTTTGCGGGTTTTTAAAAAAGCTTTTTAAATTAAAAGAAAAGTTTTAAAGTTTCTATGAAATTAAATTTCTTCGTTCTTCCTTTTGTGGTGGTGGACCATAGCACATCAATTTTAATTAATTTATGTTTGCATAAAATTTATTATAAATCCAGGAGAGCACTTACTATCTACATTCTTATATTTAATCATTGACACATGTAAAACACTAGCAGCAAATCAGTTTTAAATCAGAACTTAGCCTTGCATTCCCCATGGAAAATCTTCTTCACTTTGAGACTTAGATCAGTGAATTTCTAGTTGATCTTCCTTAGTAATCTTGGCAGGAGCCCTCCGTCACCCTCCTATACTTAGAATAGGTACATAGGCACATATTCTTTATATACAGGTAATGAATTTCTAAATATGTGAAGCAAGTCAGGCCCTTCCCACAGGGGTTTTCTTACACAAACCAATTCACATTTGATATGCTTAGAAAATCAGCTAATGATTTTTTTTTCCAGCTAATAGTTTAAAGGCTGAATATAAGGGTTTTTTTCTAGGAATGTTATTCTGTTCTTTTAAAAAAGTGTGTATATTTTCCTTTGGCTTCTAGATAGCACCTAATTAAATCATTTGTTTACTCGCTACCCAGAGGCTTGAAAAGAGTGGCTGAATTTTAGTCAACTACATTTAAAAGTAATTTACCTAAAGAATTTGTATAAAAATTAGGGAATTTTTAAAGTGAATCTCATACAGACGGCCAGTACTGCACTGCAAATTTCTTAAAACAATTTTTTATATTTGAAAGAGCAATTTAGAGGTGTTCGTCTTTCATCAGTGTCCTTTCCGAAGCAAAAGTCCCTTTTGGAAGAAAAAAATGATGGCAAGAAATTTGCAGAAGATTCCTACTGCTCATACATATGAGGTGGCAACGTGTGGCTGGGTTCTCTGTAAAAACAGAATTGGGCAAAAATATTCAGAAAATAGGGGCTGGCCAATTAGCTCAGGTGTAACACCAAGGTCATGGGTTCAGATCCTCATACTGGCCAGTCGCCAAAAAAAAAAAAAAAAAAATCTTCAGAAAGCTCTGAGGGCTGAGTAAGCAACTTAGAGGAACTGCAGACAAATATAGAAAACACAAGGTGAAGGCACGTCTGAATTCAGTCAGCATGGAAAAACAGTGTCTCATTTTGGGTTTACTTCAGACATTACTAGCATTTTTAATAGCATTAGTAGCATTATCTGCATTTTTAAGCATGATGAATAAAAGAGATTTTTTTAAAGCCCTTTGTATTTTTAGCACAATTTTTACAGTTTTAGGGTTACTTAAATGTAATCCCTGACTATGGATGTCAAAATAGTATTTATTCATATTCTTTTAAATTGATACTTAGTAGCTGTGTCAATACTTTTAGTTTTTTGTTTTGTTTTTCTTATTTTGAATGCCTTCCTATTTCCTGTATATTTTGCCATAATTTATCTACTGCAATTGAGTTTTAGTTTGGTTTCTGCTCATCATCTTATTTTTGAAATTCTTTCAAAATTTATTTATATATAAAATATATATGGTCATATCATATATTTTAAAATATATATGGTCATATCATATATTTTATATATATAAAATCAGTGTTGATGTCATATGTCAGCATTGATTAAATTGTAAAAAGAAAGTAAAAAAAGAAATCCCCAAGTCTGCCCTCTCCAAAGTTAGTTTTGATTATCTGCATTGTATTCTGGTTCTTATTCACAGTCATACCTTATTTTCAATTTTATATCACATTTTAACTTAGTATCATATATCCATTTTCTGATATCATTATATAATTTTTGTTAAGATTATATATACATAAAATTATATTTCAGTTTCTTAATTATTTTATTATTAGTGAGCATATCTGCTTTTTCAATAATTTGGTATTATAAATAATATTTCAAAAATCATCTTTATAATACATATTTTCTCCTTTAGGTTCTTTCCCCTGAATAAATGTTCAGAAATGATAATCAAAGTCAAAGCTATCTGCCATATTACTGTTGCCAAAGGATCCTACCAAAGTATAACCTTTAGCAATACGTGAACCCACAGGTTTCACTCGAAACTTTTTTTTAATGTTTTAGATTTTAAAGAAAGTTTTCCTATATGTCCTCTCAGATGACATTCACAATTTCATAATACTTCTGTGATGAAGGTAGTCGATAATTTTTCTCATTCTACAGGTGAGCAAAACGAGCTTCATAACTGAGTGAATTTTCCAATGCGATAGCATGGAACTGGAATCAAACCCAGACCTGCCTCAAAACATACAGAAATTCCACTTTGCTACAATTCCTGTACCTTCCAACCTTTTAAATCAAAACCTTCAACTTGAAAATTCTCCAACTTCTTCAAAAAAAAAAAAATATTTTTTTTGGTTGCTGGCCAGTATGGGGATCCAAACCCTTGACCTTGGTGTAATCAGCATCATGCTCTAACCAAGTGAGCTAACCAGCCAGTCCTAATACTTTAACTTTTCTATATAGAAGACTTTCAAAGTCTCTACTCCAAACCAGGGCTCCAAGCTCAATAACTTTACATGTAGAAATTATAGAAATAGGCCCATCAAGAAAAGTCAAGATATTTAGGGAGCACATACATTTAATTTTTGGAAGGATGTTAGGGGAAGGTAAGCTCTTGTAGAGAAAATGCTCTGCAGTTAATCATTCAATTAAAAACATGATGTATTTCTTATTTGGTTACAAAAAAGAACTTATGAGCATCTTCTCTGGACAGATATGCTGGGCATACTGG